CTCAGCCGGTATCATCAAGGTTGCATCACCTCTTTCCCCAAGCTCCCTGTGTACACAGCAAGCCAGGGATTTGTCAGAGCCAGCAGCGTGGAGACTCAGGCCCTTGGTAGGAAGTTAGCAAAGGCTTCAGTAGTGCTAGGATGACCAAAGGATAAGTAACATATTAAAGACCATAATGTAAATGCATGTTGCGGTTGGGAATGAACAAAGCTCCTCTGACCCAACTGGACCTAGGGAAAGAGCACCTGTAATAACTGTGAGGGTTAAAATGTTCAGTCTGATCTCAACAGCAAGAACAGCTTTCTGCTAAAATGCCCATTCCTTATTTTGCCAAACAAGCACAACCACAGAGATAGTGCTGGAGATTCATTATAGGCTCAAGTATGTAAAGAGCAACCTAACGCTATCCAAGTCTGCATTTGGCATTGCCCTGAAGATAATTTCACACTGTTCAAGCACAGTAAATAGATCCGGTGTCATAATCTGGAAGGTAGAGCAGAGCATTGCAGCCCCAGTGCCCCCATTTCCAGTCCTGCTTTCTGGATTCAATTTGTCTTCACATTCGAATGAAGTCCGTCTGCCGCCCCAGTCGCGGTGGAAATATCCATGGCGCAATGAGCAATATGAAGTTTAAAAGAAGAGCTGTGAGGGTACGGAGATGGCTGGAGAGAGTCCTTCAGCGATGCCTTGGACCTGGCAGTTTGGAGCTGGAGGTCGCAGCAGAAGCAGGCACTGAAGCCCAGCAAACAGGGCCAGTGAGTCAGCTCCCAGAGCTGTGCTGCATTCCCCAGCCTTCTCTGCCCGAAACAAACAGTGCAGAACAGGGCAAAGGTCCAGCACAAAGCTGAAGGGCAAAGGTATGTGGGGGAGGGAAAACACTAAGCCTCACGGGTTTTTTTTTGGAGCAACAAGTTCCAGTTGCCCTTATCCTCCCCAATAAGATGGGAAGAGTTACTCGAACGTTGAGTTGTGGGATTGGAACAAAAACAGGAGTTTGGAGAGGAAACTTGGGGTGGTGGAGGGGAGGCCTTCTGCTGCGATAGCAGCTTTGTTGCAACAGCCAGAAGAGCTCCACAATTACATGCCACGACAGAGTGAGAATTGCCCAACACTTTGGAAATAGGTGTGTGCAGGACTACCAAGCTGGATACCTGAGCAAGCAGATGTGTGTGTCTACTCTGAACACGAAGAAATGCCAATGCTAAAGCAAGCTTCTCATCCATCTTATCTCCTGTACTGAAGGCTGATTTCAAGGAAAGCCCTATGGGGAGTTACTCAGCAAGGGGTGAGATGCTAATGTGAAGACAAATTGAATTCCTTCCCCTGACTTCTCCTCGGTACCGGTAGCCAAGTCAGACTCTGCTCAGGCATAAAGCAACATGCACTCTCAACAATAGCTCACCCCTGGTGCTTGCTGCTAGCAACTAAGGTGTGCCTTCTTGAAAGTACTGCTTATCCACCCAGCACGTTTGCCAAACAGCATGCAGGAAACTCTACTCAAGAAATCAAAGCACCTCCTGCATCTCCACTAGGAAATACACTGCTTCCCCTGGCCAAGCACTTACAAGGAGAATTTTAAAAGTTAGCCCAGGCAAAGCTCAGCAATTGCAGTGCCAGTCATTAAAACCTGCATGCTCTTACTTCCAAGATGTAAATGGCTTTAACAATAAAGAAGTGCCAAGTGCCTTGATGCAACATTTCTTGAAATGCATCCAGCAGGTTTTCAAAACGGGGTGCTGTTAACACCTGTCCACACCAATGCTTACATCAGCCCTGGTGCAGGGCACAGCGGAGGAGTACAACACGTTCCAGAAGGTCGAGCTGTTTTAACTGCAAGCCACACTTCTCATCTACAGAAGAACTGAAGAAAACACTTTGAATTTGGTTTATAGCCAGTAGTGCAAAGCTGGTTTTGCCAGAAAACGTTTCCTTCACTACTACAGACACACATACACTACCATCATGTGTCAGTCAGGCTGCTGGCTGCATTTATTTACATGATAAGAAGAGAACATGTAATAACGAGGGCATGGTCACGCAGACCTTGCTACTAGATCATTAGAGAGTGAAAACGAGGCATCATTACAGTTTTGCAGCGTCCCTCACAAGCAGTCAGCAGTGCCAAGTACAAGCCTTGCCACGTGGGACAGGACCATGTGTACTCAGGACTCAAAGGATCCCCCCTCTCCTCTGACAGAAACACACATGAATAAAAAGGTAATGTGCATCTTGTCAAGAAACCACGAAAGTTTTCTGGTGTGCTGCTCCAGAGCCTCAGCAGTATCAATGACGTCTATCTCGACCTAATGGTTGCCCCACTTACTGCCAAAGCTGTTGTGCTTTTGGGAGGTTAAGAAGCAAGGAGAGGCTTCACTTCAAGAGCCTTCCTTCCTGAAAAAGCAGAAACGTTTGCTCAAACATCCTATTATATTACGGCCTTCACTGCCAACTTTGAGCATAAAAATACTGCAGCAGGTAGGCATGGCACAAACTTCTAAAGGTAAATCCTAATCCATGAGAAAATGACCCTGTTCTTCAGTCCCTGTGTCAGGCCCCAAATGCACCGAACTAGCCCAGCAGGGGCGAGTCAAACAGCTCAAACCAAGCTGGTGTTTCGACCACCTGGAGGTGGTGTTAAGCTCTTCCCTACCCATAGTCCAACAAGAACAGCAGAAACTCACCAAGATCTTGTAGGCAGCTGTTTTCCCTGAGCTCAATGCTTTTACTTTTCTAAGCACCAATTCCAACGCAGGCCATTGCAGAATGCAGGGACACCTAAGGAGAAGGTCTTGTCCATTAAATCTGCTCTGTGGGTCTATAATTAATATAATCATTATAAAAAAATTAAGGCTTTCAAAGCCTGTAAAACAAGTCATAGAAGGATCCCTTTATCTTTACAGAGCTGTCTGCACTACGCTCTCTGGTCTCCTCACTACCTCTGGTGGATCAGGGCTGCAAACATTTAGTATCTCCAGCACACAAGCACAGCACTGGGAACACTGCTGGATTATGAGCAAAGGCCTTGTTAAGCTCTGCTGAAAAACTAAAGACTTACAGTAGTGACTTTCCAGAGTTCAGAATCTCTCAATTCACTTCAAGCATAGAAAAAGAGTGGCTTTCCTTGGGTCATCCTCCTGGAGGTCACTACAACATCACAACATGACAACTCACCTCACCAGCTGATTCTTTCACACAAATTCACGCTCCAGATCTTTTTTGGTAAGTGTCTGCCAAAACAAATCCTCCACCCAATGGAATGAAGACACAGTTTGAGCCTGCAAACTCTACAAGAAGGTAGCTGGGTGCAGGCCTGCCAGGCAAGGTCAGCTGCCAGCCTGCCTCTCGTGGGAGCTCACCAGCCGTGTTTATTTTACACGTTTTCTCTTCTGCTAATGAACACACAGCAAAAGAAACAATGGCCCAAGAGAGGAGAGGCAGGCAGCAGCACTGGGGGCACTGCTGGAACCAATCGCTGCTGCCAAGCGTCCCAGAACACACCACTAACAAATTCAATTTTTAAACACCTTTGAGAATAGAGAGACAACTGTGCTGGGCCCAAGGACAATTCTGAGTGCTGCAGCATTACTCCCTTACCCTACAACTGCGTGGACATGCTAATGACACACCCTCACCCTCTCCCTCAAATAATCATCCCAGGAGCTGCAAGGGCCCCCTGCTTGTGTTGGGCAGCTGCCTCGTTGCTACTGACTCTGACAAATCACACACCTTTGCAACGGATGAGGCTGGTAATGAATCTGGTCTCCTCCTTACACAGGAGACTCAAACAGGAACACTCAACCTTGCTGTTTTTCGTTTTTTGGTTTATTTCTCGGGATCGTTATCTCAGAAGGCATCACAATAGAGTGTAACCTTCACACAAAGGAGCGATGTGACCAGTTTTGTGTCATAACGCACGAGGTGAATGCAGACAGCAACGCTACCCTGGATTTCCTTAAGCTTTGCTTATGTCCATGACTACAATGACAAACCAAACAATCCAAACACAGACTTCTACTTGGCACGATTAACTTGTCCTCTTTACTTCCAATTAAGATGACAGCTTTCCAGGTAGAAATTGCAGAGCTGTCCATCTCCCAGAGATCAATAACTCGGATGAATCACCATGCTAGGTAGTAACAGTTCTTACAAAACACTGGCACGTACAGTAATTGGGAATCTGACGGCACATATGGCAGCGTGATTTCAGAGCTAACAGAGACAGGTAGAAAGAGATTAAGTCTTTCCCAAACAAGACGCTTAGTGAAAACTTCTGCGGTTTTCCCCTACTCCCAATTCACTTGAAGCAGGTAGGAGAGGAGCGCAACACTCATCCCGACAGGCGAGGAAATGGTGTTCTGCAGTTTCAGCCTCTGCTGACGACAGCAGCGGGTTCCAAGCGCGATTTGGACAGCGCAGCCCCCTCCGCTTCCCTTTTCGGGGACCCCCGTTCTGCACCCGCCCCCAGCCCGGGGCAGCGAGCGCGCCGGGCAGAGCGGCGCTCGGCCGCGGCCCCCGGCCCCGCCGCCGCCATGAGTCGGCAGAGAAAGGCGGCGCGGCCTGCGCGGGGGAGCCGCGGCCGCGCACACGTGGGCAGCGCAGGCCGCGGCCCGGGCAAGGCCCCCGCGGGGGCGGCGGGGCCGCGCTCCCGGGGGAGCCGCACGCCGGGGACCGACCACGTTGCCGGCGCTGCTGCGGCGGAATGCCGGGAGCGGGAGGGGAAGGGAGGGGGGGGCCGCGTGTCCGCCGCCGGGCCCGCCCGCCGCCACCACCGCCGCCGCCACCGGGCCCCCGGCCCCTCCGCTCGCCGCCGCATGGCCGGGCCGCGCTGCCCCCCCCGCCTCGTGGCCGCGGCCGCGCCGCCGCTCCCCCGCCCCGCCGGGCCCCGCAGGCCGCGGGCGCGGCCCCACGCCGCGTGTGCCGCATGGCGCGGCCGCCCGGGGCGCGGTCGGCGGCGCGGCCGGGCCCCCCCGCCCCGCTCCCAGCGACCCCCGAGCACCCACCGGGAGGCGACTGCCCGTTCACGGCCGGCGCGTTCTTCGTCCAGGGGTTCACCTTGGGCGGCGGGGCCTCGATGAACTCCCGGCGCCCCGCGCCGCCCGCCTCGCCGCCGTCCTCCGCCTCGCCGCCGGCCCTCAGCAGGCTCTCCTTCTCCTGGTTGTTGCTCTCCTCCTTCTGCTGCTTGGCGCTGGGCGGCCTCGGCGCCGCCGGCCCGCCGTCGGGGCCCATGGGCGGCTCGCCCTTCTCCCGGCCGCCGTCCTGCGGCGGCTTCAGCACCAGGGCGCGCTCCTCGGCGGGCAGCAGCGGGGCCGTGCCGGGCAGCAGCGCCTCCACCTGCGTCGCCATCTGCGCGCCCCCGAGCCCCGCCGGGAACCCCCCGACCCCGGTGCCGCCGCAATATGGAGCCGCGCGGGGACCACGCGACTGCCGCGGGGGCGCGCACCGCCCGCCCGTGCGCGCCGCCGGCGAGGGGAGGGGCGGCGCGGGGCGCGCCCCCGCGGGGCGGCCGGCGGCGCGCACGGGCCTGATGCAACGCCCGGCTGGGCTGGGCCGGGCTGGGCTGGGCTGGGCTGGCGGGGAGGGAACCGGGGGGTTTAAAGGGCTCCGGCCCCTTCCCGACAGCCCGGCCTCGCTGCCCTGCTCGGAGAGGCCGGGTTGGGGCCATGGGACCGCTGCCGGCTCGGGGAGTACGGGAGCGAACGCACCGGTGGAGCCCCCGAGCCCCCGGCGGCATCAGCCAGGAGCCGAGGGGTAGGGATGCTCTCGGTCACCCACGCCTGGGGATAACCGGATAACGTGGTTGGAAAGTGCAGAAAGGGACGCGGTGCGTGTCCTGGGGAATCACGGAACCACAGAAACGGCCGGGTTGGGCCAGCTGGTCCCACCTCTCTGTAAAAACAGGGCTGTCCCAGAGCACATGGCACAGGATTGATTGCACCCAGACGGTTCTTGAGTATCTCCAGTGAGGGAGACCCCGCAGCCTCTCTACTCTCTGTTCCAGTGTGGGTCACTGCACAGTAAAGAAGTTCTTCCTTATATCCAGGTGGAATTTCCTGTGCATCAATTTTTGCCTATTGCATGTGTCCTATTGCTCAGCACCACCGAGAAGAGCCCTGCTCCATGTGCTTGGCTCCTCCCTTTAGATATTTATGCACATTGATGAGGGAGAAACCACCTCTCATCTCCTCTGCCCAGCAAAACCTTTGTTTGAGTAGGCTAAAATATTTAATTGCTCTCTAGCTGATAGAATGTCACTTGCTCATCACCATCATTTAATATTCCTGGTATTTGTCCTCAATTCTTGCAGGCAGCAAGACAGCGACTGCAGACCGTGTGTGTATGTGCACATGAATTATACACATTTAAAAGGCAACTTGCACTGCCAATACCATTTAGCACAACCTGCCTAATTCACAGCAGCCCTTACTTGATGCCTTTTTTATTAAATGCGAGCTTCTCCCAGCCTCTTCCCTCATCACAGCGAGCACACCACTCTGCTTCTGCCTGGAAAGGTTCATCTGGAAGTCCCAGCATGTCCTGCAGCCCCAGGGACACATCTATGCAATCCCTGCAGGAGACCCGTCAGCATGACAAGGCACTGAAGATGTAGCTGCCAGCTGCTGATGCGTGGAGAAGGATGAAAAGCTGATTTCACTGTTGGAAGGAAAGAAGAAAGTGAGAAACAAACATGAGCTCAGCACAATATTTGGAAGGGCAACAGCATCATGGTGGATCCATAGAGGGAGTCCCAGGCTGTTCAGGGATGCTCCACTGAGACCATCTCTGCTCTGTGTGTGCCCTGGTACCCAAGCTTTTAGCTCAGAGAATACCCTCCTGTGCCACAGCCTCCGGGATCACCAGCAGTTATCCCAAATCATTCAAGAATTTGGCCAGTAAAATTCCAAAAGGAACTTTAACTCCAGAAGAGAGGTCTGCTGGCCTGGCTGGCTCAATACCTGAGCTGCAGTAACCCAAGCCACATCCTGTGCTCCTGTGCCCAGCCCCTGACGTGCTGGGGGCTCCTCATGAGTGTGACTTGGAGCTGCACAGCTCCCAGCCAGTCTCCCACCTACACCCTCTCTAGGAGCAGGTTCTGGCGTGGGGAGCACGGCTGGGTGAGGAAGGTGGCTGCAGCCAGGGGACCTGCAGGCCGTTGGTGTCCCTCACCTGTCCCCAGGCAGGGTGCAGAGTTCCAGCTCGCTCCCTTTGGGATGCTGCTCTGCTGCCACGTGAGCAGGAATGAGCCCGCGGTGGCCAAGAGCCAAACTGGCTCCAGAGCTGCCAGGCAGGAGGGAGCTGGGTGAGTCTCACCTCTATGCAGTGCCCAACCAGCCCAAACCCCGGCAGATTTTCAGAGTTAGAAAATAAATGCATGAGCAAAGGTGAGGGGGAGAGAGAGGTGTCCGTGCAAGTTTCTTGAATCGGCTATAGGGAACATCACCTTGGCAGGTCAGCTCTCCAACACCCATCCTCCATGGCCAGGGAAGCTGGGTGTGCACCACCTCCTGCTGCGGTAAACACGCTGGCTGTGTCCAGCAAGCTCCGTGTGCTCCACTCCTCCCTTGGTGTCCTCACCTCTGCTGGACCCACCTTCCCCTGCTCTGCCCAGCGTACACTTGGATATTCTGCTCCTCCCTCCAGGGGCTTGCTGAGAGGCAGCCAAGGAGTCTCCACATTTCTGCAGCACAATTCACTGGCAAGTAATCCATCTCTGCTTTCCCCAAATTCAACAACAGCACCTGACTGGCATCCCCAATCCTGCTTCTCCGCCTCATCCTTCGCCCAGAAGTGTCCCTGTGCCTGCCCAGACCACATCAAGCAGCTCTGGGTGCTGCCTCCCGGCCCTGTGCTGGCCCTGCGCAGGCTCTGAGGAAGCAGTCTCCAGGGAAACTCCTCTGCTGAGCAGTGATTTGGGCAGGAGCTCCCCACCTCCCTTGCTCCCTGTACAACAGCTTATTTATTTCTCCCCGACTGAAGCGTGGCTTGCATATTTATCACAGACAGCCGGCTGCTTTGGTGCTGGCCTGAAGGTTTAAAGATGCTTTGATGGTGGCCATTAATGTCTCTGAGCATCTCTGGGTCTTGCTTGGCTGGAATATCCCCAGCTTCATTTCTGCTGGTCTGGCAAGCTCACCTAGGGCCCAGCCTTCCCTTTGGGAACAGCTTTAGTTCAGTGGCCTGGAGCAAGGCCTGTGCATGGCGAGGAGCACAAAGCAGCCGATGTGACTGATATGCTCCTTAACTTCACCATCCTGTTTGGCTGGTAGCTCAGCCACTTTCTCAGGTTCCACCTGCCTAATTTTGTCCAGCGCCGTGGCCACGAGGTCACCGTTAAAAGTGTTTCTTTCCTGCAGTTTCACCTTTGCTCTAGTCTGGCCCTGAGTGCCGCTCCTGCAGCACACTCCTATCACACCTCCTGTCCCTGCATCCAGGGCTGTGCAGACCTCGATGTGTGCTTCCCAAGGGAATTTTCTTTCCCCAGCACCTCCAGTCCAGTTTGCCTGCTGCCAGTGCTGGTCACGCTGTTCCCTGGTGAGATGCCCAAGCTTTACACGTGGATGGCAGAATATTAAGGCTCAGGCATCTTTAACGCTGTGCAAAAGAGGATTTTTCTGGGAAAGTCCAAGCTTCCTATCCTGAGTCATATGCTTTGACTTATTTATGTGGTTGTTATTGCTCCATGAACCCTGCCGGGCAGAAGCACTGTCAGGGACAATGCACACAAGGTTGGGCTGACTTTTCTGCAGCAGCCCTGCAATGTTGCCTTCCAGCAAACCCAACTGCCCCTGAGGGATGTCAAAGTCCTGCTCCCAATGGACTTGTAAAAGCAGTCTGACCATCCAACTGCTGGTGCCCACGGGGAAAAGCTTTTCAAAGGACACCCACAGCTCATTCCTAGAAGAGAAGGATCTTTGCTCTGAGAAGAGGGTGGTATGCTGGTGCAGAACTATTCTCAGGACTCTAGGCCAACAGTTACAACCCTCAAATTGGAATGGGAATTTTTAATTTCAGAAATCCTGACAGTTTCCCATTGAAAAATACTCAGCTTGCCCTGAAATTCTTCATCAGGGTACTCTGACCCAACCTTTTCAGTCTGGGCGAGATTCTTTCCCACAAAACAGTGGAAGCCCAAATTTCAGTCCCAATTTGCTGTGCCACTGGTGAGTGGGGCTGAGGGCAGGCTGCCAGCAAATCCCTGTGACTCTGCCATGGCAAGTGCCTCCAACCAGCAGACACCTATTAGTGGCACATAGTGGCCATCACAAAGGACTTGAGTACTTTTAAAATTAAACACCTAAACCTTTTATTCTACTACTCAAAATATCCCATTTCAACCTGCATTAGCTCACAACCAGAGGAAGGTGCCCATTCCTGCAGGTTTCTGCCAGAGAGAGCACCAACATTCCCCAGTTTAACCTAGATTTTAGCCTCTCCTTGCCCTGTGTTTTTAACCCCAGAGCTTCCACCCCTGCTCTGGAGTGAGGGACCATGCACTAAAGCACAAAGCACAGCCAGAGCAGCTATCTCAGCTCCTGCACTTCTGCTGCCAGGGCACAGGGGTGAGAACACACTGAGTGCTCCAGACAGCCCCATATCTATCTGCAGCCATGCGATCCAGAGAGATGGAAGACACTCCCTGGCTCTGAGATTAATTCACTTGGACCCTTCCAGCAAAGCATATGAAGGATCAGCGTGAAGAGTGAAAGCATTCCCACCAATAAGTAATTTTCAACCTGTGTAATAAAACAGCAGACACTAACGAGTTCCATTACATCCCCATTAAAAAGTGCTTTCACTTAGCAGGACCTCACAGCCCAGGAGCTTGGTGGTTTGGTGCTGCAGCCCAGCCAAAGGCACTGTGCTCTCAGGGCACTCTGCCATGCCTGGGGTAGGAACCAGCTCCCAAAGCTGCTGGCCCCTCGCTGCTTCCACCCCTGCTCTGCACGCTGGGAAATGGTGCTGCAGATGTGTTCATGTCTGAGAGTGCACCCCATGGATTTTCCTGGTGCTAGGAAGTTAGATTGAAATGTGAGCAAATATCCTGTGATTAAAATCTGAAGCCTGTTATGCAGCTTTTGTGTGTTTTTAATAAGTGGGTTGGAGGAGGGGATATCTAATGATACATAACTGCTTTTATCATCACAACTTTTCCCTCAAAGAGCCACAGTTCTTGTAGGACTCCCCCAAAGCCAGTAAATAATCTTGACTGCTTGAGAAAAATTTCCCCATTTCCTAGTTATTGATGGCATGGGCCTTGGAAAGCAATACCTCCTCTAGAACACAATTTCTCACCTTGTAGATTTTGCTGGAGATATATTAACCCAAGGTTTCTTATGTCCCCTAAACCACTTCCATTTCCAGGAGCATGTGAAAACATGACATAACTTGACCACCGAATCTGATATTTTCTCTGAAGGATATGTACCATCCATGCCACCCCTCTGCCATCAGGAATTTCAGCAGAAATATTTCAGACACTTCTACAAAAAGAGATATAAGAGCTCTACTACCCTTGTTCATGATGCCTTCAGCTCCACATGCTTCAGATGAGATCCTGCATCCTTCCCAGGCCTCAACCACCCACAGCAGTGCCAGAGGTCAGAGGTCCCTGACTCAGCTCACCCAAGGATGTGCCATTGCTGTGGAGAAACAAAGCACGCTGGCAATGTGCTGTGATTCCCAGGAATTTGTATTTCCCTGCCATCCATTCCTTGTACCAGCACTGGCCAGGGTCATACATCTTTCTGCCTTGTGCCTGATGTGCAGGAAGGCACCAGCCAGTGGCTGCTCCACAGAGCTCAATTAATTCAAGCACTGGCAGCTTGTGCAGGTGCCCTAAAAGCTCCCAAAGACTCAAGGTGAGAATCAATAAGATTGATGGGTGGAATTGCTGGAGTATTTTCCTCTAAGCACCTAAGGATAATTAACAGCCAAAATGCTTGGAGCCAACCACCAAAGTTATGAAATACTAAATCAGAGGCAGCTCCCAGCAGCTTCACTCGCTCCCGTTGCAGGTTGTACATTCATGATGAAGCCGTCAGCCACACACAGCCACAAATTCTCTCTTTTCCCCTGGGACTTCTGCTCCTTCCAGTGGCTGGCAGTTATTTAAATATTGTTTTACCCCTCTGCAGTCAAAGCAAAGTCCTGGGCTTTGCCATTCAAATCCTAGCCTGACCCACAGCACAAGGACATCACTGCTGGGTGTTTCCCTGGCAGGCAGCACGCTGGGATCTGTGTGTTGCACCAGTAGGTGCAGAACCAGCAGGTGCTGTTCTCCTCCTTGGATAGCCAGGGAACTGAGAAATAGGGAGAAGTTAAAAAAATTTTGCTCTTTTGTGTGCAAGAGTTCAGATTTCTGCCCCCCAACTTTTCAGGGCACTGGGCATCCTATCACAATGCTTTCCTTTCCACTTCTGCAGCCACCTTGACTGGAGCCAGGCACAAGCAACCAGCAGCCTGGACTCCAACAGGCCTCGTGGGGGTACCAGAGGAGGTGGAGCCAGGCAGGAACCCCATCAAGAGCCAGTCTGGAGTGGTGGAGCTGAGCTGCCTGGCCAGCTGTCCCACACAGAGTTCAGGTCCCACAGAGTTCCTGTGACCCACAGCAGAGGGTCAGCACACACCCACTCCCTGTCCAGCCGGCCCTGAGCACCAGCCATCACACCATGAGTGACAAAGGACCCCAGGAGGGCACAGCACATCTCTGTGTCCAAGAGCTGCCCTGTGCACTTAAACAAAGGGGCTGGAGCAGGGGCAGCTCCATGCCTGACACTACTTGACCCCAGGCATGACTAAATGAACTTCCTTGCACCTTGGGATGTGCTGTGTGGGCCTGTTGTACTCCTGGTATCGCAAGGTTCTTCCTCCACTGCATATGGAGCTCCCATCCCTGTTTCATTGCAGGAACGTTTCAGTGCTGAACAGGTTTTCCTGCCTTTTCTCCCCATGCTATGACTTGGGAAGGCTCCATCCTGCACAGATGCTCCCCCAGCAGCAGCACAGCTGTCCCATGCTGCCAGCACCTAGGGTGCATGGAGGGGACATCCCCATGGGAAGAGCATCTCCTCCCCTCACCTGTGCTCTGCCTCAAGCCAGGCCCTCTGCCTGTGACTCCCGTTCAGCCTCACCAGATTTGTGTTTGCTTTCCCAAATATTTCACTGGTGCAAAAAAAACCTGCTGTGAGCTGACCTGTGAGCTGAGCCACCTCCACCTCCGAGCTGAAGCCCATGGAGTGAGAGAGATGATAACTTGGAACAAAGCAATGCCAAAGCTTAGAGCAACATACCCCAGCTCTTCTGACCCCCTGGCAGTCTGGCCTGGTGCCACCAAGTCAAGCTGGGGACAGTGCCCAGTAGGCAGGATGCTGGCACTGCCACTGCACCCACCACAGCCTCTGATAACACCCTGTCAGCAGCTGATCAGCCAGTCAGAGGTAAAAGGGCTTCAGCAAAGTGCAGTGCCAGCACCCAGCCCTGGCCAGTGCTGTACAAGCACGGCCGTGGGACACAGGCAGGGGGATTAAGAGATCTGTGTCAGCAGTGGGCTGTGTACACAAACACAGCAGCTAAAAGGGCTCATGTTCATGCTTTGTCCCCAGGGAGGTCGCTGGGGATGGGAAAGGGTCGTGCAGAGCGGACATGCAGTGTCTGTGTCAGCCCTCTCCGCCACGGGAGGACAGGGCTGGGGATGGCACAGTGAGATTGGCCTCAGGCAAGGGGACTGTCCCCCAGCTCCCCTCCCTGCAGGGAGCCAGGCTGGGCATGGCAGATAATGCTGTAGTGCCTGGGAGGCTGCAGGGAACTCCCTGGCTCTGT